ATTAAACAATAATAAGTAATTATGTATATTGCAATACTAGTAATATAGACATTTAATAACTTGCATGTCTAATAGAAGCAGGATTTGAGCCCAGGTAGTTTAGTTCCCAGAGTGTGTACTTTTAACTAATCTGCTGTTGTGCCTTTCAGTAACACTCTTCTTTAAGTCAGATCACTATGTTTTTTGTTTTGTTTTGTTTTAAATGTGTCTTTTAACATACCGTTTGCTCTGTTGTAGCTCTCTTCTTCCCATATGAAAAAATTTCCCCATCTTTTCCCACTGTTAACTAGAATTTCCTGTTTTTGTTGAGGTGTAATTCAAGCCTCATAAAATCTGCCATAGGTATTTCATCCCATAGCCTTTTTCCCTCTAAGTTTCTATCAACTCTTCCCACAATATTTTAACACATTTCTTCTTGGCTTGTGTTGTTTTATGTATAGGTTTTATTTTGCCCACAAGATTTTAAGATTAATGTTATCTGCATCTTGATGCTTTCTCAGTTCAATTCCTCTTTCTAGACATTTGTAAAATGTTACATAAGGTTAATGATCCTGGACATCATCCTGATTCATTGGGCAAACCCATGCTTCTCTATCTAACCAGACAAAGCAGTGTTTAAATCTCAGCTCTGCCTAAGTGTGACCTTAGGGTAGTTACACTTACCATCTTTCCTCATTTGTAAGCAATAGAAAAGAATATCTACATTGTGGAGTTGTATTGAATATTAGGGATAATATGTGTAAAGCACTAGCACACAGAGGTTTCTTTTTAAAAGGTCTCTATTCATGATCAGCTAAACAGCATAATCATTTCTATTTTCTTATAAGGCATGTTTTATTAGTGTCAATATTACAAATTTGTTCAGGCTAGAAATAAGATGGATTATTGTGTTGTTCCCAGGTTTCCTTTTAGAACCTGTCTTGTTGAAGACTCTTCTATTAGCAATCCGCTATCTTCTGACAGACTGGCTATTTATAATAACAAGCCAGCAGTTCCATTATTTCTTTAAACCTCTTGGTTCGGTGCCACCTGGTCTATATAATTTAGTTGCATGTAATTTGTTTATTGGATGTAAAATACTTAGTGCATTTACCATAATTTGAGCTAATAGCTCTGATCAGTCTCCTTAAAAAGGCAGATTGCCAATACAATTTAGAAGGCTTTATGATGTAGTTTTCAGTTTTGATGGCTGTTTTGGATTTGCATTTGTTCTCTGTGCATGCTTTGTTTCATGAATCTTTAAGTTCTTTGCTTCCATCTGACACCATGTGTTTGAGGTTGCATTTTATGAATGGGAAACTTTGCAAATGCTTACTAAATGATTTAAAATTTATTTCTGCCTCATGTGTTCTTAAAAATACCAGCTGCTGCTTAGTTGAAAATGTAATTTAATTTGACTGACACATGAGTTTTATAGTTCATAAACATGGATGTATTTTCCTTGTTTGTATTCATAAGCCTGTTAGTCCATATGTTAATGTGTTCTTTGATTTAATTTCATTTATTTATTTTAAAAATCAATAAAAACAACAGAAACCTTGGGAAAGCCTTCATACTTGCTATATTTTTGAAACATGCTTCTGTTTTTTGGAGATCACACTTAGGCCTACAGAATTTCTTCCCATTTTAGTGGTTTCCTAAGGTTTCTATTTTAGGAGTTGTATCATCATATTAACAGAGAACAGCTTTTGATATTATATAATTTTGTACTGTATTTATAGAACTAAGTGCATTTTGGATGTAAAGACTAAATCTAATGGCTAGATTTAGTTAAACATGGTAGACTGTTATAAATCCATTCATGTATATTGATGATTCTTAATAATTTGAGAGTGAGAAAGCCTCTTGCAAGATTATTACTTTATCTCTTCTCTCCAGAAAAGTTTATATGTAGACAACCGCAGATTTAAGGACCCCCGAAGACCAGTTTGGGAATTGGGATAGTACAGGGGTCCCCAAGCCCCCAGCCGTGGTCCCGTGCCTGTTAGGAACCAGGCCGCACGGCAGGAGTTGAGTGGTGGGCTAGCAAACGTTACTGCCTGAGCTCTGCCTTCTGTCAAATCAGTGGTGCATTAGATTCTCATAGGAGCATGAGCCCTCTCGTGAACTGTGCAAGCAAGAGATCTAGGCTGCACGCTTCTTACGAGAATCTAACTAATGCCTGATGATCTGAGGTGGAACAGTTTCATTCTGAAACCATTCCCTCGGTGGAAAAGTTGTCTTCCACAAAAGCAGTGCCTGGTGCCAAAAAGATTGGGGACCCCTGGGATATGACATGTATATGTGTAAGTATAAGACACTGTATAAGATCTTGAAGAAAAATATAAATAGATTAATATAAATACTGTAAGCAGGGAGCAATTAATATAGGTACATGGGGCATAGGGGTACAGGACAGGGCAAGCTTCATGGAGATGATGGAATTTGAAGTACTGATAGGCGTTCAGAAGACAAAGCCATTTCTACACAGGGTCAAGAAAGCAACCGACCTGTTTAGCTATCCATGAGTATTGAAATTTCCTTAAGGATAATGACTTTCTGATTGACCCTCAAGTTCCACATTGTGTCTAGTGTGGATACAGTTATCTTTAAGCTCAGCAACTACTTGCTGAATTGAGCCACAGTTTTTACTCATTATTGTGGTTTCTGAGACCACTTTTCTCTGTGTTCTAACATGTTACATGTTTGCCTTCATACATATTTTTATTCAGGGAAAAAAGTTAAATGATGTAATTTCAATGACTATGTGCATTGGTTGGCTTTAAAAAGAAATTTAAAACAAGTTTGGTATTAGCAGGAAACAGCTTTTGATATTGGTCTAATTTTTTATTTCTTAAATTGTGTCCTTGGCAACAGTTACTTTTTGGGTGTGGAAAGAAACATTTCTCCTCAGTTCCTTGGTTAGCTTTTTGGGAAAAGTTAAAATGGTCACGAAAGCATCAGATAAACTAATAGTAACCCCAATGGAGTATACTTTTGTTTAAATAAAAGCCAAGTGAAGTCTGTACTGCCATGGTAATATCATGCAGAAATAATAAGTTAATATATGTAACAAATAATCAAGGTTTACAGACTACATTCTTAAGAGATTATTTTTTTCCTCCCTTTGGAAAGTAGTGATATCTAAGGGGAAGAGGGTGTGGGGGACTGGCATTTTCTCAGCATTCATAGTTGGATAACAAAATCCACCTAAAAATAAAATATGTACTCATATGCAAAAATGCTGAACTTACTTTTTTGATTATTGACCTTTCTTTGCACAACTAAAACATACTTGTCACAGTTTTGTTGACTGGTTGATTTCTTGTCATTATTCCTACATTAGAGTAGTGAGTCCTGTGCCAGCAAACAATTTATATTAATTAGTTTTTAAAAAAATCACTCTCTGCATGATTTTATCTCCTGTGTTTATAATGTTATAATATGAGCTATTAATTTAAGCACATTTTAAAAATACATTTAATTGATTCAAGTAATATTTTATAAGTGCCTACCCTGTGTCAGGCTATTTCATAGGTGCTATGGAGGCTATGAGATGAACAAAGTATTAATTTCTTGGGGCAGTCATATCTCCTACAGATTTAGTTTTTTTCAGTAATAGGATAATATTATTCTGATTTATCCACACTGTTGTCTCTTTCAGAAATCTAACTTGAATTGGTGGGATAGTTTTAGAGAAGTCAGGAATAATGTAGAAGAGAATTTTTCGCTGTGCCAAGTCAACTGACCTGACTGGGATTGAATATGTAGAATTCATTTCTCTTACCTAGCTTTCAGATCCAGAGTCTGAATAATTGCATATCCTTTTTACATTTGGGAACTTGACTCGGGGCTTTCCCTGACCCTTTGGAACATGACTCAGGTTTTATTTTTATGCAATTATTGCAGAGTGTTGAATCATTATAATGCTGATAACTAAAACGGAACTAATATTAGACTTGGAAATTCTTCTAAAAAATTAATATGCCTGTTTCTTAAAAACACTTAACACTCAAACACTCTGAGACATACCATTATGGAATGCTCATAAGGTAATTATTTCAAGAGTTTCTTACTGAAATTAGTATCCAGAACTACATATGTTCAAAAGTATTTCATGTATTCAAAACTACGTATATATATGTTTGCCCTCCCAATTTTTATTTTGTTCAACCAATATGCAAATAATGGTCTATCTGATCCTTCATTTTTGCTGGTAGTCTAAAGGTCATGCAATAAGTAGTTTATGTCTGGGTTTATTTTTACTTATAACAGAAAAATTATTTTTAAAGTGAGATGTAATAACATGTTTTGACACTTTTCAGATCTTTCATGTAAGAAAATTCTGCCACACATCCGACTATATTCTTATGGTGCAAAGGTTACTATTTTGGAGGCTAGCTTTAGGAAAGATCAAATAGCTAGATAGAATCAGAGTAAGCAGCTTCAGCCTGCAGGTATTTTTAATTTTTTAAAAAGCTTTCTAAAGGAATTTTACAGAATATTTTGGATGATCAAGCTAGTGATATGAATTGGTTCTATCTGACTCATTTCTATGTGTTAGACATGGTATTAAGCATTTTAAAAATACTGTTTTACATATGAGAAGAATATTGTCATTCTCATTTAAAAAGTTAGGAAACTGAGGGTTACAAAAGAAGTAATTTGCGCAAGTTCATCCCACTAATTCATGGCACAGTTGGTAATTGAATGCTCAAGGTCTGGTGACTCCTAAGCCTGATTATAGCAAGTTTCTACCTCTTTAGAGCAAAACAGATATATTACTTTGAGTCCTTTTAGTGTTTTAGCTTGTATCCTCATCCTTTATTTACTTCAGTAGGTTTTTATAATCAATTGTAAAACATCTATGTTTCAAGAGCATACCTGAGATTTATTTCTACATATGTTCATAATCTAGTCCTAGGTATATAGTATAGACTTTGTTGATTTATAGAGTTGAGGGACACTGTGACAAACCACTGTCTTCCTTATAACATGATTTTTTATTTTTTGATTTGCAGGTTTTAAATGCACAGAGAGCAGGATACAAGGCAGCCATAGTTCACAATGTTGATTCTGATGACCTCATTAGCATGGGATCCAACGACAGTAAGTACAGGTATCACTTTTCTTCTCTCCTGTTTGACAGATCATTTGTAACTAAAAATTAACAGGATTTTCCTTCTCTCATTTTCTTTTTAAAAAGCAGAATTTCTTCTCTATCAGATAATCCCCCATTCTTAACTCTCTTTGGATGATTTTATTCATAGTAGAGATGAAAATGACTTTCTTTTCTGAACAGTTTTTTTAAAACAGAAGTGTTTTGTTTATTGATGTTTTGTTAAAAACCAAAATTTTAGCAAAAACTGGGAGAAACAGCTTTAATAGGGATAAACATGCTGAGTTAAGAATGCCATAGAGGGCGTTTTGTAATTTATTTAGAGATTCACAGCATTATTTTAGGGTCCGCACATACACTAAGTAGCTGCTATAATCTGCTGAAATTCCAAAGCCACATACTTGTGCTTCCTTATACCAGTTGGTTAGTATCCCTTTGTCATACACTGGCATGTTCGTAGTTTTTCATTTCAGATGGGAATGTTTTTCCTTACTCTCTACTAATTATTGGCTTGTAGGGAACAATGAGCCAATTTTAGTGACATAACTGGCTATAATAAGACACTGACTTTTAAGCTGTATGCCTCACTTAATGTAGTTTCTATCACTCAGGGCACTATGGGGTTTTATCAAAACCTTTCTAATTTATACTAAGATTATTTACTGTCAACACTTAGGATTAGAATTTATTTTATTTTGTTTTGAGTGCATTACCACAGTATATTTTGCTATTAAGTCCTATTGATTCATATTTTCAAGGTAAAGCGAAGTATAGACATAAAGCTATAGACTGATAGAAAACACTGGAATGTATTTAGGAGTTTAAATAACTACATCCTGAAAAGGAAATATTTTATATTCCTTAACCAAAAAGCCTTATTTTAGCCTATGACAGTGTTTTCTGTTGTTTTTGTTTTTGCCCTTCTTTTTTCTTTTTTTTTTTTTTTTTTAAGATGGAGTTTCACTCTTGTCGCCCAGGCTGGAGAGCAGTGGTGAGATCTCGGCTCACTGCAACCTCCGCCTTCCCGGTTCTAGTGATTCTTCTGCCTCAGCCTCCTGAGTAGGTGGGATTACAGGCACCTGCCACCATGCCTGGCAAATTTTGTATTTTCAGTAGAGACAGGGTTTCTCCATGTTGGTCAGGCTGGTCTTGATCTCGTGACCTCAGGTGATCTGCCCGCCTCAGCCTCCCAAAGTGCTGAGATTACATTCGTGAGCCACTGCGCCTGGGCATTTTTGTCCTTAACCCTAATAGAATGAGGCAAAATTATAATATATAAAAGGTAAAATTTATTAATGCATTTCTTTTTTTTTTTTTTTTTTTTTAAGACGGAGTCTCGCTCTGTCGCCCAGGCTGGAGTGCAGTGGCCAGATCTCAGCTCACTGCAAGCTCCGCCTCCCGGGTTCATGCCATTCTCCTGCCTCAGCCTCCCGAGTAGCTGGGACTACAGGCGCCCGCCACCTCGCCCGGCTAGTTTTTTGTATTTTTTTAGTAGAAACGGGGTTTCACCGTGTCAGCCAGGATGGTCTCGATCTCCTGACCTCGTGATCCGCCCGTCTCGGCCTCCCAAAGTGCTGGGATTACAGGCTTGAGCCACCGCGCCCGGCCTTATTAATGCATTTCTTAGGTAATTTATTTATATTTTAAATTATTATTTTAACCTCCTAGCTGATTAAATCTTTATGACTGTAGAGTCCATTAAGTACCCATGAGAAGTTTTAGCATTTCAAGAATAGTTTGACAGCTACTACATGGGAATTACAGGACTTACTTAAGTGAGTTTACTTATCAAATAAACTGGTAATGTTAGTACTGCCAATTTGACACATTTTACTTCTCCTCCTTTAACTATTACCCTCTTTAAAAAAATTATCCCAGTTGATACATCCCAGGGTCAGTAACTTTTGTGATCTGTATACATTTATTGGCAAAATGGAAAGCATGCATAGTCTGAAAATAGATAGGCCTGAATTTGAAATCAAATCCTACTTGTATCAGTTGTATAACTTTGAGCAAGTTACTTACTCTTTGTATGTTTTGCCAAAGTTCCAAGCCCAGGATTTAGCAAATCTTCAAGACCTTCTCAAGGGCTGAATATGTTTTGGATTGAACAAATTGATTATTATTTGTAAACTATTTACTCTTTTGACATGTTTTCAGTAAAAATTTTTCAGGCTGAAATTGTCAGTTCCGTTTATCACTTATTTTTTCTTTATAATACCGTAAAACCTTTTTGTGATAATCATGTCAGCTCCTAAAGAAATATGTTCAATATTAAAAGTAGCACATAACCATATAAGCCTGCTGTTTCCATGGAAATGTTTCAACTGAGTTGTTATTCAAAGACTGCTCAGAATTTTGGTTCTTGACTTTGTTGCTTAGATTATTTTCTATGATATTTTGCTCCATCTTTGCCCATGTGTTTAAACATTTTATATGTACAGAGACAAATGTTGTAAAGATGTTTACCATTTTCATCTTTACTGTTACTTGGTAGAGGTAAGAAAAGCATGGATTTATCAGAAGAGGCTTGTATCTGTCTCTCTTTTCAAGGCCTTCCCTAGGAATACTGGTATCGTATACTAAGTAGAGATACTAATGCCTGGAAACAAAAGGAAGTTTTAAAAGCCCCTTCCTGTTGACGCTTCACATGAGGAATATACCAATTTTTATTTCAGCCAGAAATAATGGATTAATTCAGTGGGCCAATAACATTCTTTATCTTTAGGAGACAGCAGAAAGTGGTAGGAAGGACACCAACTTCAGGAACGGGAAATATGTGTTTTTTTCTAAGACAGACTAGTTGATATATGAGCCAGGTACCTGCACCCTCAGGAAAGTTACTTAATCTTTATAAGCCCATTATTTTCATCTATAATAGTGTGCATAATTTTAATAATTATTTGACCTGACGAGTTTGTGAAAATCTTATGAGAGAAGGTATATGAGAAAACCCATGCAATGGCAGAGTGAGAGGAACCTAGATAAGGAATAAGAAGCCTCAGGTTTGAGTCCAAACTGTGCAAATATCTAACTGTGTATCTCTGGGTCATTTTTTTCTCCTTTTTTTCTTTGATTTCTTCCTTCAGCAAATGCTTTTTGACAGCCTAGTGTGCACTGTTTTAGGCATTGAGACTATAGCAAGTAATGATGCAGTCAGAGGCTCTGCCTTCGTATCTTTCATTGAGGTAGTAGAGTGCAGTAGTTAAGAGAGTACTTTCTGGGTACTGCCTGTCAGGGTTTGAATCCCAGCTCTACCACCTAGTAGCTGTATGACCTTGGATACGTTACCTAATATCTATATGCTTCAGTTTTTCTGATCTGTGAAATTGGGATAATGATAGTACCTAAGTCATTTAGTTGCTATAAGGATTGAATGAATTAAGGCCTGTTAAGCATCTAGAAGACTTCCTCATTCATAGCAATAATTTAATGATTGTTCAGCTATTATTATTGTTATCATTTTATTGCATTCTAGAGTGGGAGAGAAGAAATGAACACGTAATCAAATAGATGTGCTATAATGTCAAGTAGTGATAAATGCTATGAAGAAAAATATCAGTGTAAGGGGATATAGAATGACAGAGATGAAAGGAAGGCAGCTATTTTATATAGTGTGGTCAGAGAAAGCTTCTGTGAGGCATTGCAATTTGAGCACAGATCTAAAGTTAGTGGCTGAGTCATGCAGATTTCTGAAGGAGGGTATTCCAAGGAGAGGGAACAACAAGTACAATAACTCGAAGATAAAGCATGCTTGGTGTTTCCAAGGTGTGGCATAAAGCCACAATGGCTGGATTAGTGAACAAGGGAGGGAGTGGCAGGGGATAAAGTTAGAGAAGGAGCCAGGGGTCAAATATGATGGGCCTTATCAGCCATGATAAGGACTTTGGAATTTATTCTAAGTAAGTTTTAGGCTGGGTGCAGTGGCTCAGGCCCGTAATCCTAGCACTTTGGGAGGCCAAGGTGGGAGGATTGCCTGATCTTCTGAGTTCGAGACCAACCTGGGCAACATGGTGAAATGCCGTCTCTACTAAATATATAAAAAATTAGCCAGGCGTGGTGGCGTGCATGCCTGTAGTCCCAGCTACTTGAGAGGCTGAACCACAAGAATCACTTGAACCTGGGAGGCGGAGGGTGCAGTGAGCTGAGATCGTGCCATTGTACTCCAGCCTGGGCAACAGAGCGAGACTCTATCTCCAAATGAATGAATGAACGAATGAATGAATGAATGAATAGGTTTTAAACAGCTGTGTAATATGACATATTTTATAAAAGGAGCACTTTGGCTGTTCTTTGTAGAGAACACTGAAGGTGAAAGATGAGCAAAAGTGCCAACAGAGAAGATTTATAAAGTTGCTGCAGCAGCCAGGCAAGAGTGATGGTGGTTTGGAGTATTAGTAGTTAAAGTAATGAGAAGTGGTAGGAATATGGCTATATTTTGAAGCTGACAGGATTTGGTATAGGGAGTAAGGGAAAGGGAGGAGTCAAGGATGACTCCAAGATGTTTAGCCTGAGAAACTAAGTGAATGTCTATGCTGCTTACAGAGGTGAGAAATAGAGTTGATCAATTGAGGGAAAAGAGACATTCAGAGTTCAACTGAGAAACTTTGTTTGAAACATCTATTAGGAAATCAAATGGAGATATTGAATGAGCAATTGGGTATATGAATCTGGAGACATTGGGACTGGGTCATTCAAATTGTAATTTATCTTTGTTTGGCAGTATATACCTCACAGAGTTGTTTTACAGATCAAAATAAAGTAGAGTGTTTTAAAAGTATTTTGTGAAGTAAAACATATTTAGTTTTGTTTTCAGTAGATAATGTTGCCATTTTCAAAATGGTTCCTCATATTTGCTTACAATATTTTCTCCCTTTTTCTTAATCATTTTATTAAAGTAAGGAGCTTTCTACATACATCTCTTTAGATATAATTCAAAGAAGCTAGGTTACTTCCAATATTATTAGCCAGTAGTCACAAGCCAAAAGTTCTTCCTTGAGTTTGTCATAGTATCTTCATGAAAGAATAAAACATCATACACAGGGTATATAATTGCAAGTTTTTTTTTTTTTTTTTTTGAGACGGAGTCTCGCTCTGTCGCCCAGGCTGGAGTGCAGTGGCCGGATCTCAGCTCACTGCAAGCTCCGCCTCCCGGGTTCACGCCATTCTCCGGCCTCAGCCTCCCGAGTAGCTGGGACTACAGGCGCCCGCCACCTCGCCCGGCTAGTTTTTTGTATTTCTTAATAGAGACAGGGTTTCACCGTGTTAGCCAGGATGGTCTCGATCTCCTGACCTCCTGATCCGCCCGTCTCGGCCTCCCAAAGTGCTGGGATTACAGGCTTGAGCCACCGCGCCCGGCCAAGTATCAAAATAAGCTTTAAACTCATATGTGGTAGAGAAAATATCTTAGCAAGATAGAAAATATCTCCCAAATATGAAAAATATGTATAGTCGTATAGCAATACCTCTGCATCTATTAAAAAAAATGAAATAATGCGTATAGCTCCAGCTACTTGGGAAGCTGAGATAGGAGGGGCACTTGAGCCCAGGAGTTACAGGCTGTAGTATGCAATGGTGGTATCTGTGAATAGCTACTGCACTGCAGCCTGAGCAACCTAGTGAGACCCTGTCTCTAAAAAAAATAAAAATAAAAATAAATGATGAGGTAGATCTGTATTTATTGACATAACAGGATGTCTGATCTGTATCATTGTGTAGAAAAAAGCTTACACTTTAAAAATTATATGATCACATTGATGTTAAAAAATAAAATTGTATTGATCACATTGATATAAAAGTAGTGATTAAATATTTCTTGACTAATATTTTTTGTTTCTGCCCTCTTTGGGCTTTGGGGCTTACATGTTTTTGTTTTTTTCTGGTGTGTATGTGTGTGTGTGTGTGTATGTGTGTGTGTGTGTGGGGGGGGTGTGTGTGTGTGAAAGAGAGAATGTGTGAGAGTTGAATGTTTATATTTGCATAAAACAATCTAGAAGTGAAAAAAAACTTACTCTACCAAGGATATCAAGATTTTAAACCTTGTCTTTATAAGGATGAAACAATAACAGCAAAATAGATCAGTGATTTATAAGTTTGGGGGGGTGTTGACTGTATGAGGGAATTTTGGTGGGTGATGGAACATTCTGTATCCTAACTGTGATTGTGGTTATAATTGTACGTATTTGTCACAACTTACAGAACTGCCTATTACTTCAAATAAAACATTTGTCCTTGGATGGGAAGGATTATGGTTTTGTTTTGTTTTCTTTTGCTTTACTTGCCTCCCCCTCTTTTAAATGTAAATGAATATGCATTGTTTTTAAAATGCAGAACAAAGTTATTTTGAAAACTATAAAAAGGAAACAAATGGGCCTTCTCTAAAGCCAAATGTGTTAAACTAACTCACAGCTAATAATGAGGCTGCTTTTTCTATTAGCAACATTAAGAGGATTGTTTTTATTTCTATTCCTGAGTAATGGGTAATTTTTACAAAATTCTTTTTGGGTGGCATTTGATTTTGGTTTTGAATATGGGTAGAAGAGTCAAATATCTTAAGATACCAATCAAACACAAAGCTTTGCCATGAGCGCCAGGCTTATGAGGAAGTAGAAATTTACCCAGCTTTCCTACTCTATTCCCTTTCTCAACACCTGTCAGCCTTTCAGTCTGGAAAGCCAGAGATGTGTGGCATTACTTTTTAGATTGTTGTGAAGTTGTCTTTTCTTATATTCTCTGGCTTATACCTCTCGTGGAAATGGGTATGTAAAAGAAGCTTTTTCTCTTTTTCATTTAGGAATTAAGTTATGTGTGGGAAGAAAACCTAAAATTTCTTCCTCATCTTTCTTCTCTAACAAATTATGTCTAGAGAGGAAGAATCAAATGGAAATATTAACAATAAAAATTATATCTGCATCTCATAGACTATTGAGAGAATTCAGGTAATGTATATATGCAAAATGTTAGCTTTGTTACTGTAAATGTTATGTTTCTCAACCATTTTGATGATGAATAAAATCTGCAATCTGGAAAATCAAGCAATAGACAATTAAAGTTGATTATAATTGTTTCCAGTTGCATTTGCTGCTATTATGAAGAAAGTTAAGTTGATTGTACACTAAGTATGGGCTTTTAAGAATAATTTTATTATTCTTTTATACAGTTGAGGTACTAAAGAAAATTGACATTCCATCTGTCTTTATTGGTGAATCATCAGCTAATTCTCTGAAAGATGAATTCACATATGAAAAAGGGTAAGTAATGGATATAAAAAATCATGTTGCTTAAAATTCTTCTTTATATTAAGGTAGAATTATATAATATTGTAATCAAAATTATGTTTCAGAATGAACTCTGTAGTGCCAAATTATCCCTTTTTAAATCATTATGCTTTTAAGATGTAGTATTTTAAAGTATTTTACTACTTTTTCTTTGTATGATTATGTTGAAAATGTATTCATGCTAGTGAGAGTAAGTCACCCTTCTTGCTAAAATGATAAAATAACTTTTCATTTTACAGTTTAATCAAACTACTAGTATTTTAAAACAATGCAATTTATGTTTATATGACATTTTCTATTAAGAAATGTTTGTATATTACTAAAAGATATTTTATATATTATAAACACAGAATCCAAAACATTGTGTTAAGTGACTAACATTTACAAAGACAAAAAGTCAATTTTCAAGTTTTAGAAGTTTGATTTGAATGAAAACTTTTATATGAAACTCTTCTCCCCCACCCCCACAAAATAATCTCATTACAAAGATAACATGCGGACTGAAATTAACTTGAGGCACAGCTGTCTCAGCTAATATAGAAAACATAGAGAAAATGGTACAATGAACACTTCAGAACTTCTTCCATGACACAGATCCCCAAAATGTAGTGGACCAGAACAGACTTTTGTCTAAGAGGAACACCAATAATAATAATAATAATAATAATAAAGCAGCTAATATTTATTCAGCATTTAGCAAAGCTGGGGACTCATAAAGTAAGACTTCTATATTTGTTATCCATTTCATCCTCACAACAACCCTCTAGTGGTTGTTATTATTATCACTTATTATCTACATTTGCAAAAGAGGAAACTGGCACAATGAAATCCAATTCTAATTATTTAGGGGGAAAAGAAATCCATGAACATTTGTGTTTGAAAATGCATAAAAAAGAATAGGACAGGGTTTTCTGTTTACTGTTATTGTTAGTTCCCCACTACAGTGTTGATATTTAAAATGCTGTTCACATATTATATGCTCAGAACAGTACGTTAAGGAATGTAATTTTGGAAGTTGTATCAACAAACAATTGCGCAAAGTTGTGTTTTGTCAGCCACGTTTGCTTGGTTAAAAGAGAGGAGAATTAGTACTTGCTTTTACCTCAATATTGCTCCCCCATTTAGAATACTTCTATATATTTTAATATGTATTTTAAAGAGTATTCTTTGTTTTTAATTATAAAACCATACTTTTTAAAATTAAAAAGTAATATATAGATGCTAGCAAAATATGGAAAAATTGAAATATAAAACATTTAAAGTGCAAGTCTCTATATGACACTATTGTCTAACAACTACTGTTTTTTAAAAAACCTTTGTTTTTCCCCATATTTGATTATTCACATTAATTAGTGATCACATGTTCATAAAATGGAACCATACAGTACATAATAATTTGTAACTTGCTTTATTTCCTTAATGTTTTGACCCTTTCCAGGCGAATACAAGTTTACAAACTCTCTTATCCCACCTCTTGGCTACAGATATATTGTGGCACTGAAAAATGTTTAAATTTTAAAAAGTTAAATAATATTCCAAATAAAATTTGAGGCAACACCCCATAATCAAGCAAATTAATGTATCTGCAATGAATATATGGCTATTTTTTCCTGTCAGTTCACTTTAAGTTGACTGTGAAATGAATTGCAAACATTATTTTTTAAAGCTTTTTAGGTTTTAGAATTGTTTATAAGGAATTGTAGAGCTGTACATAAAGATCTATTCTATCTATCTATCTATCTATCTATCTATCTATCTATCTATCTATCTATCTATCTACCTACCTACCTACCTACCTACCTACCTATCTATTTATCTGTCTATTTATTATCTACTACCTACTTTACCCTCAAGCCCCCTCTCTTTCTTTCAGTGGGCAGAACTAGGAAATATATATGGCTTTTAAAGATACAGTAAATCATGAGTGTATACTGTTGCTTTCAATTTAAATTCAAGAGCCTAGAATTTTTACTTTATTGATCTTAAATGGGTATTTTATTTTTCTATGCTTAAAGACACCAACATAATAATATATTGTCTTTTCTAATTGTAGAGTATATACACAACAGACTCAGAAGAAGAATATCAGTGCTAGTACCAACATTTTTTTAAAAACAGTTCTTTCTCTGCTTAGAGTATATCATAATAGATAAGTTCAAATTTTTTATTATTATTATTATTATTATTATTGAGACAGGCTGTTACTCTGTGGCCCAGGCTGGAGTGCAGTGGCATGATCTCAACTCACTGCAACCTCTGCCTCCTGATCTCAAGCGATCCTCCTACCTCAGCCTCCCCAGCAACAGGGGGCTAAAGGCAAATTATTTTTTTAAAAGATAAGTGAAATAGTCTGTGTGCAGATGTTATAAATTGAAAACACAGGTTTATTTGATTCATTTGCTTTCAGAGTTTAGAGATTGCTCTCCCTACTCCCAAGTGTGATTTTAAAAATTATATATAAACTTAAAATCAGTAAAACAATGTATATTCAAAGAAGTTCAGATTCTAAGTATCATCCTTCTTGTCCATCTTGTTCCTCTCCTTACCTTATAAGTAACAATTTAAAAAAGATTTAATTTATTCTTTAGTTCATTAAATTTAAAAATATACAGGAAAATATATCTCCTCTCCCCTGTCTTCTACCCTACTGCATAAACAGTATTCCCCTTCCTGCTTTTGACTTAATAGTTTATCCTTGAGTAGATACAGATATTTTTCATTCTTTTGTACAGCTGCATAGAGCTCTTGTTTTGTGGATGTTCTAGTTTAATCAGCTAGTCCCCTGTTGATCAGCATTTGAATGGGTTATGTTATGTTGTAATTAGAAATACTGCTGTAATGCATAACCTTATGCCTAGTGTTTTCATGTTTTTGCCAGTATACTTTTGGAATAGATTTCTAGAAGCGGGATTGCTAGTTCAGAGGTAAATATATATGTATTTTTGCTAGATATTGTCAGTTCCCATCCATAAGGGTCATGCCAGCAGTTTATGAGGGTGTCTCTTTTATTGTAGCCTCACCAACAAAGTTGTTGTCAGGTTTTTTTATTTTTACTAATAGGTGAGAAATGGTATTCTGTTATCGTTTTCATATGTATTTCTCTTATTACAAGCACATTTGAGCATTTTCTTCTTATGCTTACGCACTACTTGTATTTTATTTTTTATGAGCTGTTTATCTCTAGGTCAGTTTTTCATATTAGATTGTTGGTCATTTTCTTCCCTATTTTTATAAGTTCTTTATTTTATTAGGTATGTTGGCCCTTTAATTTTTAATATTACAATATTTTTTGTATTTTGAAATTTTTATTTCGCTATGGTGTTGGGTTTTTTTAAATGTAACCAAAAATCAAATGTCTTTTCCCTTGGGCTGTTGGTCTTGAGTCTTAATAAAGTTTTCCCTACTCCTGTGTTATAGAGGAATTCACCCACATTTATACTTGTATGGCTTCATTTTTAACATTAAATCTCTGGTTCATTTGTAATTTATCCTATATATGGCTTGAAGAATGTATCCAATCATATCTTTTTCCAAATAGCCATCAGTTATTCCAATGGGTTTTTTTGGTCCTTCCTAGTGAAATTTTAAAAACAATTTTATTGAAATATATCTCACATACCATAAGGTTTACTCATTTAAAGTGTAAAATTCAGTGATCTCAGTATATTTATAGAATTCTGCAACCATCATCACATTCTAATTTTAGAACTTTTTCAATATCCCAAGTAGAAACCCCTTACACATTTGCAGTCACTTCCTGTTTCCCAGTCCCTTCTCCGTCCACTCCAGCCCCAGGCAATCACTAATCTACTTTCTCTCTCTATGGATTTGTCTATTCTGGTTATTTCACATAAATGGAATCACATAATATTCTTTTATGGTTTTTTTTCATTTAGTGTAATGTTTTCAAGGTTTATCATATTGTAGCATGTATTGGTACTTTATTCGTTTTATTGCTGGATAGTATTCCATTGTATGGATATACCATGTTTTGTTTATCTTTTCATCAGTTGATGGACATTTAGCTTATTTCCACAACTTGGCTATTATGGATAATGCTTTTTTCACTATTTGTGTACAAATTTTTACATGTGCGTATGTTTTTATTTCTCTTTGGTATATACCTAGAATGGAATTGTTGCATTATGTGGTAACTCTATGTTTAACACTTTGAGGAACTGCCAGACTTTTTCCAAAATGCCTTCACCAATTTATATTCACACCAGCAATGTATGAGGGTTCTAGTTTTTCCTTCCAAAGGAATTTAATAATCAACTAGTCTAGCTTCAGAAAAACCTGATGAGATTTTTATTGAGATTACATTATATTCATAAATTAATTTAGGAAGGATTGACATTTTTAGGGTAAGTCTCCTTATTCAAGAGTGTGGTATGTCCTTTCATTTGTTCAATTCTGCTTTTTTTTTTTTTTTTCTAAAGAAAGGGTCTCACTCCAGTTGCGCAGGCTGGAGTGCAGTGGCTCCAGCTCACTGCAGCCTTGATCTCCGAGGCTCAGGTGATCTTCCCACTGCAGCCTCCTGAGTAGCTAGGACTATAGGCATGCACCACCTTGCCCAGCTAATTTTTTGTATTTTTAGTAGAGATGGGGTTTCACCGTGTTGCCCAGGTTGGTCTTGAACTCCTGGACTCAAGCAATCTGCCCACCTCAGCCCCACAAAGTGCTGGGATTACAGGCGTGAGTGAGCCACTGCACCTAGCCAACTCTGTTTTTATGTATTCAGTTTTGTTTAGTTTTTTGAGTCCAAAATCTATGTGAGATAAACATTTCTTGTTAAATTTGTGCCAAGGTATTTTATTGTTTACTATCATAAGTGGACTCTCCTCTTTCATTACCTCTACTAACTGGTTTTTATTTGTACAGCTGAAAGCTCATTTTTAAGTGTTGATATTATAACCTGCAATTTGACTAAATTCTCTTACTGTTGGTGGCAGTTTTTTCATATAAATAGGAAT